CTTTGCTGTAGCTAGCTCTAAAGTAATGATAGTCTGTATTCAGCCAAAATATTTATGATTTTGAAGAGGAGATTAATAGTCTGCATTTTTCTTAAAGTACAATGTAAAAATTGCAAATTCAGTCATGATGTGAAAGAAATGTGATTTCATGGTATTGCAGCAAAATTTAACTTCTGTTCATGTATCACAAACAGTTAGGTACTTTATTAAGTATTCCATTCCTTAGTCTGAAAACATGAATGAGATAAAAGCCATTCTAAAGTGTTTGGATTTTGGTCTGGAACAGAACAGCAAAGAATCATTTTTCTTCATTTAACTTGATCCTTCCAGCAGCTCCTTCATCTGATTTTGGTTGTGCGATTCTTGTGGAAACAAGCAAGTCAGTCCCCAGTATGAGACAAGGTAGAGTCAGATTCAGTTTGTTTTAAATTTCTCTAAATGGGAAATGTGCAAGCATATATTATAAAAGCCATGCTCTGGATAGCAGTGATACCCTCCAAAAGCTGTGGTCTTGACAGGTCTCTCACTGATGTGGCACACAACGCATTTACAGTTCAGGATCACCTCCTTCACTGTCCTCCTTCATTGCCAAATGAAGTCATTAGGGGATTTGAGATCTATCAACCATCTGTGCCCAGTATCTGTTTGTCCTCAAGTGGGAATGAACCATCAGGGCAGCACTACAGTGGGGCAAGAGGTCTCTGGGATGTGTCCCTGTCATTCAAATCAGTGTGCCCCTCACACTGCTGGATGCAGTAGCATTTACCATTCAACCCTTCTAGCTGTCAATGCTGGTGTCTCTTTAGAAGTCTGGAAATGAAGTGAGACTTGGGTACAGCATCTTTTGTTATATTTTTACCAGTGACTGGGAATAACCAGCCATCTTTGGCATTGAATAGGAAACTTAATAATCCATAAAGTTTTATGCATGTATATGTTTTTATATATATATATATATATCTTTATGTTCTGTTCATATATCAGGGAAAATCATATTGGTTATGGCTTCCTTCCTGGGGGAAGGTTAGAATGCACCAGCTGTGACACTCCAGTTACAGGCATGATCAGATTCACTCTAAATCCAAACTGAAAATTATATTGACCTTAACTGAAATACACCCTTTATTAAGTCTTTTCATGTCAGTTTCTTTGCTGTGTTTGAAGAACTGTCTCACCATTAGCATTAGAGCCATTAGAGGACGCTTACTTACTCTTAGAGAAACACTTAGAAAACCCTTGACTGCTAGTCCTAGTATTTGTAAACAGCAAGTATTAACCAGTAATTTCTTCTCTTTCCTCCTTTATTCACATTTCCATTAATTTAGTGTTAGAAATTCCAAGTCTAGAATGTCCTGCTACCAGTTCTGGATCTGTTTCACTTAATCCAACCACAAATCTGTGGCACAGGTGCTGTGAATTATATCTAAATGGGGGCTATAGTCATCCTACAGTCAGTGGGAAGGCTCCAGATTAGGATCCAGAATTGAAAGCAAGTTCAGCTTGGTATGTTATCAAGCTGAAGCTCTTGTAGTCTGTCAAACACAAACACCAAAGCAATCTTCATGGCTGTCCACTGAGCTGTTGGTCTGACACAGGTAGAGTTTGCTCAGACAGTAGCTTCAGATGCCTGCGGTACAGAGACTTCCTTAGGAGAGAAATAGCAGAGTTCTCATATGCCATTTAGAGAGGAAATAAAATTTAAAAGATTACAGCAATTTTAGTTTGCTGATAATGTCTCAAAGTAATGGTCAGTGTCTAACATTGATTTATTGTCAGTATGTTCACCAGTCTAGGAAAGATTTTATCTTCTACTTGTATTCTCTTACTGAATATATATATATATAATGTTCTTTAGTTCTCCTGGGAGATGTGTATATCAGAAAGTATAGAAATGGCAAGGAATTTGGCTTGGTAGCTCCCAAGTTCAGACATTTGTGGTCATTCTAGCTTATTTACGAGTGTAAGTCTATTATGCAACTCCCTGATACTCAGTCTCTCTATGTTAATATGCAGTTTAACAGCTATGGAGTTGGATAAAAAGGAAGGGACAGGGTGAATAACAGCACAAGTAAAATAACTGAGAGAAATGATTCTAAATTTCTAAAGGAGTTAAGATGACAAGAGTGATGATGACCTTGCTGAGGAAGGAACCTGTTCTTGAAGCGCTAGAAAGACTGAAATTGTTTTGTCTTTCTTAATTTAAAATCTGTGATCATATAGAGTCAAAATCTTGACGATCGTAATATAGGGAGTAAGGTGGCCCAATTAAGGCAGGAAAGACTATGCAAGGTGATCATGAAAATTGAAAGAAATATCACAATACTTGAGAAAGATGCGGTTTGTTTTTCCATAGAAATGGAGTTGGTTAAGCTCAGGAAACGTAAGGAAAGTAGGTTTGCTGTTGTTTAGCTAAGTTAGCTGTTAGTTGAGATACATAGAAAAGGGTTGGAGTCCTGAGAAAAAGGATATTTTTTTCAGGTATTCCATAAAGAAATTCTTTCYTACCTTTGGTTCTTGGGAGTTGCAATCGACAATGTAAACTTTTTTTTTGTGGTGGACTTGGATACAATCTCAAAGCCATCCTTGTCAGGGATGACTGCCAAGAACTTGGCGTCTTTCACTTTGAGATCTGAAAACCCTTCMAATTTCTTGGGAATAGAAACATTGTAGAACATATTCAGTATATTTTTAAATCTTTGCAAGTATTCTGAAAGGCAGGAAACACACAGCCACTCCCCACCYGCAATGGGTAGATGATGGCAAATTCATATGTGATCCCTGTTACTAGCCTTCAATTGTCAACAAAAGATTGTCAATACAGAATTTTTCACCACATATTTGATGAGATGGTCTCCCCCCCATTTCACTTTCTCTGTCCACATGTGGAGGATGGAAAAGAACCAAAGCAAGGGCCAATATCAGTATTTGAAACTGTGAAAAATTGGATGGTATTTTATTACCTCTTTGGAGTGTGGAAAGGCAACTGCATACTATGAAAATGCCTAAATCAGACTTAAAAGGACTTCACAGAGAGCTACTCTGAAATGCACTCTTGAGGTTTGCATCTCAGAACACCCATTCATCTCATGTTTTTCTTTATGTATACCCTGGTATAAAAAGTGTATGCATATTTATAAAAAAAGTGAAAACTATTGGGACCTCCGTATATAAAACTCTTCATGTAATAGAATACCTGCCTTTTCTGGAAAACAATGAAATGATCTCTCTACAACTCTACAGTGATCAAAATTCAATACTATTAGTATAAGCAGTTTTATGGTAATAATAGCAAATTTGCAAGGAAAAGAGATTCATTTAGTTCTAAGAGGTGTTTGACCTCTGCTACTTCATAATCCATTAGAGAGAAATAAGGTCCCCACAAGCTGGCTTTCCTTTCCTTTTACCTGGAAGGCATTATTTTTTCAATGAATACCAAAATCAAGTCAATATTTTTACAACTAATATAATTGCCACTCAAAATGGACTAATCTTAGCTCAAAAGCTGTCTCATACTGTATATTCAATGCCAGTAGGAAAGAAATAATTAAGATGTATTTTTTTTGTAATTGATCAGGAACATTTAAATGGCTTACATAAATAATAGACTAATCAAAGTATTGTCTAATCACTTAAAAAAAACACATGCCTTACTGCATGCACATTTATTTAAATTAAATTTACTGACAGAGTTTATGAGAAATTCTGAAAGAGGATTTTTTTCACTTTATGCTTAATGCTCTCATAAATATTAATTTGTCAGTTCTATAGGGTGAGATATACAATTAAATTGTTCAGTGTATGTCTTTAAAATAGTGGTGTGCATTTACTGTTACGGGTAATTAGTCTATGGGGGAAAAAAACAACTTTCAAAACTCATTTTCACATCTGCCAAATACTATTCTAACTCATTTTCGGATCTACAGAGAAATAATGATATTAATAATCTAATGTTATGAAGAATATATTTGAGCCTTTCTTCATATGCAGTGTCATGCATTGTTTTTCTACATAAAAATATGTCAGTGATAAAAGGCTCAATAAATTATTACAAATACAAAAATACAGACCCATGGGTTACAAAATACATGGTTACAAAAAAATCAGGTATTTAAAAAGTTCATTAGGTTTTGAATTCTTATTCTTTTTTTTTTTGAGTCCCATTGAAATAATGCTAATCATTTGCAAAGTGCTRATCTGATTTTGGATTTGAACACCAAGAAACTTCAATCTGAGGGTTTGAAGCTTGGCTGCATCTATTTGCAGACACCTTCTGTTTTTGTCTGCTCGTTTCTAAAACCACTTTAGCTTTGTTTGACCATATGAAAGAAGGATACACTATCAAGCTGAATATTTGATATGAAGTGAAAACTCATATTTCCCTGTACTCATGAATTATATTTTGAACCTAATTTATGTGTGGTCTTTTACATGCAAAGCAAAATACCCGTAACATGAAAGATGTGTCGTTGCAGTGTTGGTATTTATTTACGCCCTTGTCATGCTGCCGCAGCGAAGGTGGCTATTTGCTTGCAAGCTGTCCCATAGATATTCTTTGGGCTCCRCTGGTGCTCACTCAGTGTTGCTCTGACAGCCTGGCATCAGTGGCCTTCCTGCGTTTGCCATCAGCAGCCACTGCCATCTGCTGCCCTGTCCCTGGGCTCAGCTTCTCGTCTCTGCCTTGGATTCTCAGGCTCCGTCTACATTTTTTTTCCCCCTCTGGACAGGAAAACAGGGCTTCTGCATATGTTTAACCCCACTTTTTTTGCAGGATACTAATATTTTGGTTTTAGATTGACTGCAGTTTTACAGCAGAGTGTCCCCCAGATGTGACTGCTCTAAAATAAAAAAGTGCTAGTGTTGGGCTTGAATGTTTCCCATCCAATCAGCAATTGCCCCTTCATTTTATTTTGAAAGTGTTTTTTTTTTTTTTTTTTTTTCACTTGAGTATGGGGTTTCCAAATGACTCTGGTAATCCTGGATTTTTTCTCTTGTTTTTACAGGTGACCTGTAACTGTTTCACCATCAGTAATGGAGAGATGCAGGATGTTGGTGTTGGCCTCTATCCCAGGTACTGTGGACACTGTTTCATTCACAGGCAAAATCTATGTTCGTTTTTTGCCTTTTTCCTAGGTAGCTGCAAGGGTCATCAGAGCTGTAGGCAACACATCCAGGCAAGAAAATGGGAGTTGAAAACATTGTTAATGGTCCTCCTAATCAGAGAGTTAAAACAACTTAAATAGGATAATTATTTATATTTGATTTTTATGGTGATTGTTCCTATTCCTAGTATGGATAAATAGTGACCTCAAAACGTGTGACTAGGGCATTCTAAAAAAAAAAGTAAAAGAAATTTGTTCAAAATTGCTTTAGAAGATTGATATTTTGTGGTCAAGAGTCTTATGAGTTGGCAATTAAAGGAAAAAGATTGAGTGCTTATTTTAGAAAATGAAACGTAGCTGAGAAACTGGCAAGATGAGCAAATAAACCCCTCTGAGATGGGTGTTAATATTTTAATGACTTCTTATTTCGTGTATTAGGGAAGATTGTATCAGGGAAGATTTTGCCCTCATGTAATTAGTTACCTCTAATAATTTATGTGTAACATTAGAATTTATTTGAAAGCTGAAATTAAAAAGGAGAATTATATTTGATCATATCAAAAAATGTTTTTAATATTGAACCATATGTGAGTATCTAAATCTATTTCTTTTTCTAATAATACCACTCATGCAAGATTTGAGTAGGGACACTTAATGGCTTGAATCTGGTTTTTGATAAGAATAATGACAGACTGCTATGGGGAACATGGGATTCCCATGTTAGGAGAACATGGGAAGTGTTACAAAAAGTAAAGAAAAGTCATATGATTTCATAGTGGAAGAGAAAMAAATCCTTTCATACACTCTGGAAGAAGGTAAACAGTATTTTCCAACATTGTTATTATTAAAGTAGTAGTTCATTTGGATGAATAACATTCCTAACTGGGAAGAAGTTAGCTGTGTAAATTTTGTGACTAGGCACTGCCAAGGGATACAAGAGACTTTCCCCAGTCAATTCTGGACAGTTTGAATTTTCCTATACCACGTCACTCTGAGTAAGGCTGAGAGTGAGCTTAGATCAAATCCCAGACAAGTGCACTTCCATCAGGACTGTTGGGTGTAAGAGGATGAGAGTGTCTATATTTTCAAACAAAACTGTCATCAAAACATTAGTGTTTCCACGGGATGAAATCTGATTGCTTTGTTTAGTCTCATCAAAAGGTTGTGTATGGCTTGATAGCTTCAGCATCCCTATATTCTTTTAAAGAGATTAAATCCAGTGCTTGTTCTTTTGACCATTTTGTGAGGTTAATCAGAGATATTTGATCATTTTGTGAGGTTAATCAAAGATATGTTGTTAAGCCCCAAGGGATATCAAAAGCATCAAGGTCCCTTTGATAGCCCTTTTAAAAGAAGCAAATAGATGAATAAATATGGCTTGGTGTGGGACTCTGACCTTCAGCAAAATCCTTTATTTTGCCAGCAACAGCTGGGTTTGGGGGTTACTGAATCAGACTGTTGAGGACAGCCCAGCAAAAGGTAGCCAGAAGCTGGATAAGCCAAAAATCCTTCTTCTAGCCTAATGATGCCAGAGTTATTTATCCAGTGGGACATTTCCATAGGGGAAAAACCTCAGCACTGAGTCTGCTTTGAGATTGATGGCGGTCTGGCAAAGTCACTTGTTGGTTAGCTAATAAAATGTGGGAATGAAAAGCACCAGAGGATGTTATTGGTAAGAGTCTGTCAAAGGAGCGCCAAGAGTGYGCTGTCTTGGAGGTGGCTGCAGCTCCATGAAGAGCCATCACGTGCTGCAGGAGCAGAGGCTGAACTGTGAGACAAACAGAGGCAAAGGCAGTTTCTTTTTTTCACTGCGATTCCCAGGTGATCTGGTTCAGAGACACACTACTATCCATTTTCTGCCGGCTATAGAATAGACTTTAAGGGACAGCCTCTTAGCACTCGGCTTCCACTGATGGCCAAAGTAACTGACACGGTACATGTTTCTAGTGCCCTGAAAGTCAGCAAAAGAAGCAGAATTAAAATGCAGCTCAGAGATAGATTAGCTCAAAGATACATTTTTTTTTTCTACTTTCAACCTTTCATCTTTGCCCTGACCCCAGAGACAGGCCCCTGGGTGTCCCTGGGAACTGTCTCCTTCCTCCCACCACAGTGCGGAGAAGACAGAATCAAGTGAACAGATCGAAGCATGGCTACTATTAGCCAGGAGTATAAATCTTGTAAGCATTAATTTTCCTCCCCTAACCAACAGCAGCTGCTTTASCAGGGATTTTATTTGTTTGGTAACTTAATTGCTTGATACTTCAGATGTAACAGAGTTAGCTACTCTGAAATGATTAAAGAGGTAATGGCAGTGAAGGCACCCCCATAAAGATCTTTCCCTCTCTCTCCCCCTCACAGCATGTCTTTACTGAATCACAGTTGTGACCCAAACTGTGTGATCGTTTTTGAAGGATACCAGCTTTTGCTTCGCTCCGTCCGAGAGATCCAGATTGGTGAAGAGGTAATTAACTTGTCCTCCCTTCCATCACAGACACCTGCAACAATGACATTCCCTAAATAAATTCCAGACTGCAGGGCCACCAGCTTAATATTTTGATGATATATTGATGCCAGTTTGTAGCACACAGCTATCAGGGAGAAGATGATAAATAGAATCATCTCTTCACACTGCCTGGGCCCCATAATCATTACTTCTCATAAATCACTAGCAGTCTTGATAAATTCTCGTTCTTCCTTTCCTCCTCTAGGCACTTCATTTTGTTTGTATTTGAACGTCTTTGCCCTGATGGAAACACTTATAATATTTCTGGGTGAAATGCAGTGTTCACTAAGACACTGCAACAATAAGCATTTCTCACTCTGCCACCACACCAGTGCAGTAATCCTTGTGCTGACATCAAAGCAGCAAGGCAAATTTGCTTCTCCTAGTCATTTAACTGAGAGAGATTCCAAGATATCCCTTCCAGTAGATTTCTGATTTGATCTGAGGTATTCCCATCTTTGTGTTTAAGACAACATTTTTATTGATTTGAAAATAGTAATCATCCATGGCTTGATAAAGCCTTTCAGAGTAACTGTCTTTTACAGCAATGCAACATAGAATTTGCTTAGTAAGGCCTGCAAAGACATGCCTATGCACATAACTGTGTGTGCCCTGATGACCTGCACAGCTCCAGTTCCAGTRGGATGCAGTTGTTACTCATTTCAGAATCCTGACCTAAGGTAAATGTAGCTCCTGTCTGTGCTTCACATGCTGGGAAGATCAAGGGCATGCGTGTTTGAATTTAGGAGTGATATGTCTCTTCTTCCCTATGAGATGTTTTCTCTTTTAATGAACCTTTTCTCTAAAATAATAGGCTATGCAAATAAGTAAATAGTGAAATACCTTATGAGCCCAAATAACTGTGTTTACATAGGAGAATCAACAGAAATGATTTGGCATACTTCATTTTTTTGCCAGGAGAAATCCTTTACCTTGCAATGTGCTGTTGTGGAGCTGCTAAGTACATACGTTGTTCTGCCTGACAGTTTTGTTAAAGCTAAATTATATGCACTTTTCTTGCATTTTATCTGTAACTTTCCTCAGCCTCCCAGTTCACAAAAATGAGTTAAATTATTTAAAAACACAGTAATTTTTAATAYCTTCCTAGGATGCATTCAGGTTGTTAGAGTTCTAAATTTCTGAGTTACTTTATTTCTAAGCTCGTGAGAATATTTTTCTAGATAAAAAAATACAGGGTAGGATGAACATTCAAATAGCCTTTGAGTGGCTCTGGAGTGACAATGACACCCTTGCTTGTTCATCCATCATGCTAAATGTGCTAAGGATGTGAAGCTATGACCTAAATTTTAGATTTGATGTTAGTTACAAATACGGGGTAAATTACAAGTAATCTGTAAGGCAATCAGAAAACAAATGTAAGTCATAAAGCAGTCCAGCTAAAACATTTTTTTTGCAATGATTTTGGCAGCTATATGAATAAGTGCTTTGAAGTGACTGCTACTTTTATAGATATGATGCATTTTCTAAAAAGTTTTGTTTCCATTTAGGCAGTAAAATAAAGCCAAAGTTATCCAAAGAGTAGTGTTTTCCTTGTTGAGAATATTGCTACTGGCTTTGATGCCTAAGGGAAAATATACTTTGTAGTAAAGGTAAGATAAAAAAAAAAAAAAATCAAGCCTGTGTTAAAGCAGGTACCCTTTTGACTTACCTGGAAATAAAAGTAGCAATCAGAGTTACAGGCTTCTTAAAATAAGCATGTGTCTCCAGAAGAAAGTGAGCCCAAGTGAGAAAGTAAAGATGTTTTGGTGAAGATTGAAAGTGAGTTTAGTTTAAACTTGTTTTTGGAAGAGGAAAGAAAGGAAACCTGTTTCATTAAAAGGGTATGAACAGGTCAGAGGTTTAACGTTATTTTTAACATTGAATTACTCTTGCTGTTACGCAACTGCTGCCAGTGTTTATTCTGCAGTCTGTGAGGCAGCCCTGGTGCTGCTGCTTCCCTCACTGCCCTCCTGCTGCAGAGCGAGCTTGGTGCTTCTCATGGCATGGTATTAAACTTACCCACCCACTCGTGCACTGTTAGGAGGTGAGTTTGTACTGGTATTGCTGAGGTCGTGATCCGACTTAGTGAGAGAAAGAAATGGCGAATTTGTGTGGACATTTTATTCTATATGCCCCTGCTTAAAAGGGCAGGACTTTCTGAAACTTGTTTCCAGTTGYTCAAAACTAATTCTAACATGTTTTACTGCTCAGGATAATGTTGGCTGTACTGCAAGCTATCACGGCTTTTGTTATTTTGGGTAATGTTACTTCATACAAAGATTTCTTTACTTATGCTTCAATTTCAGAAAAAAAGCATTGCAAAGAAAGTAAGATATGGGGAAAAATGATAAGAAAGCAAAGACTGTTCACCTAGAGATTGCCTGGACTTCTTCAGTGATAAGGGAACCTATCAGCCTATTTACTTTCTCAAAAAAACATGCAGAGCAGCCCATTCTGGAGAGGTCTTCATCATTCCCTGCACTTAAGTAACCACTTTAAATAGCATCAAGATTTGCACTGTAATTTTGTTTGAGTTATTGTTAATTACTGTGTCTACATGATACTTTGCAAGAAGACATGAGCTCACTTTGCCTATTCTCCAGTCAGAAGTTGTAGCCATGGTTAGCTTAGTGCATAGCTCAAGTCAATTAGTCCTGCTGAGGGGCTGGATGTGTTAGCTCAGGTTCAGGGCTGCTCCAGAATGGGCACATGGCTTCTYACCAGCCTCAGGACACTCAGAGCAACTGTGCATCTGTCTGCAGAAAGTCACACAACAGACCAGCCTCTGACTTGAGCAGCTCATTTTTTAAGTTCATCCTAAACACGACTCATAATTTCCTGTGACCAGGAATTGTATCTTCACAAATAGATTCTCAGCCAGAATATTTCTGTTATTACAATTCTACAAGGACTTTTATCTGTGTGTTTGTCATTTTATCATTTTAAAGGCAAATCTTTCCTTGAGTTAGAAGGTGTATTTATCATCTTTGCCAAAGCAGAAAGATCACAACATTTTCACCACAACCTATTCACCAGTTACCTATCAAAACAATTACTTAGTCTCAGGAACAGATTTTTGGACAGAACCCTGCCCAGTTCCTTGAGACACAGGATTTAAAAGCAAGAGTCTTTTTTTCTGACATTTATGTTAAAATAATTGAGTTTAAGTTTCTGTAGAATCCTCTGTCTGGAGATTTTGTTGCTTATAGCCTATTACAAAAAGAATAAATTAACTTTCACTACAGTGTGAATTATATCCACGTCCTGAAGCASATGAGGAACTTGTCTCATGCAGAAATTCTTGAACCTAAAGTATGATGGCTAGTTTCTTAAGAGCTACAAATAAGCCTCAGCCAGTGATGCATTTCCAGGGAGAAAGTCTTCAGAGTCCATAAGCTTCATGGCTGTTAAATAATTCYGTGCATTCATAAATGTTATTTAATATATTCTGCAGTTTGGAGGAAAAGATTTAGTGCATTCTTTGTAAGAAATGCAATGAAGAGGCAAGCTTTGGTCAGGAAAATAATGTTTTAATTAATGCCATACATACCCCATGCAAATACYATTAAGACAACCTTTGATGAATGGGCATATTTCATAAATATGTACAAGTTAAATGAGCCTTGCATATAATGAAGGGAATCAAAATTAAAACAACTGTAGGAGAGAGACTTGAATACAGTATTTTAATGTTTAAATGAGTAAATGATTAGTATAGACCTAGTCACTCTTAGCCTGGTCATGCCTCTAAGTATTCTAATTACATTTTCCTACTCAGGCTGCCAGCAACAAACATTCTTTTCACTTAGGGATATCTGTTGGCAAGAGTAGGAATTTGGGCATGGGTATCTCATGGCCAGACAATCCCCAAATCTTTAAAGTGTGAGAGGAAGATTTCGAAGTGGCAAAGCTTCTTCTCTTCTCCATCATATGTCCTCATCAAGAACAGGTTGTTAAGTAATTGTTAATATCCATATCTCTTCAGTAGCCCCTAAAAAAGGAAACTACTGGTTTGCAGTTTGTGCCTACTTCCAAAGTTTCTGTGACACACATGATAAAAAAGAGATAGGAATGAAAGGAGAGAAAGAAATGCAGCCTGGAAGTTCAAGGCAAATAAAGCCAATTTCTTGTTATGAGTTTGTTATACAGTACTAGAAATGAACCCTGCCTAATGATGGCTTCAAGACTACTGAACCTGTCTCAACCTTGTCTCTGTGTTTTGGCAAAGAACATATTGATCTGGCATGAATGATATATCCCAGAGGTCTTGTACTTTGCCTGCACTTAATTAATACCCTTTTGTTTTTGGATGCCACCTGAACCTAAAGCCCAGGAGGACCCATCACTGGTGAGAATCCATGATGTAAATGCAAGGAGTGTAAGAGATGAGGAACAAGGCAGTACAGACTATGATTTTCATAGAAAACAACTGAGAGTTTCAAAGAGATATTAATTTCAGAATCTTGTGCTGAGAGAGGTATTGAGCTTGGAATGGTTGAAGAATAAGGTTAGGACTACAGGCCAACTGAAAATGGATATGTAAATAGAAAGGGAGACAGATTTTTATTACCACATAGAGAAGAATGCAGAATAAGTGTTCCCAGGGCAAAGAAATTACAGCAAAGAAAATGATACACATGCCCAGGAACCAAGAAGAGAGAGAAAGAAAAGAGGGACAGTTTGGAGATTGTGGGATAGAAGAGATCAAACTTGGGAGAAAATTATAGGCAGGAAAATATGCATCCATTTGCTGCAGAAAGCTCAGAAGGAAGCCTACAGTTCACATACACTGCTCTTGTGCTGCCACAGAACAGCAAAGAAACCACCCACCCAGATTGTCCCACCCATTTCAATGCTAGTGCTATAGATTAGCAAACAGTTATTAGACTTCTGAGGCAGAAGTCAGAAGAGTAAACATAAAGGTCCGACTTCTGATAATAATTCATATCAATTTCCCCATCACTTGATATGTCACTTTTGAATTCCTATTTTCACCTTTTTGTTTTCTTATTTAAGGCTTCAAAAATACTCCAATCTCAACTCAATAGACACAGAAGATATGACAAGAGAATATTATTAAGTATTTAAAATCTAGCAATCAAATATTTGAAAGTTTGAAAGTCAGTTTTATCCATAGATTTTAAATTTGACTCTTTCATGAACTATTCTGTTCACCTTCAATTATGAGACAGTATTTTATATTTTTTCATAGACTTTCTGCTTATGATTCTTTTACATGCTTGACCTTACCATTCCAGTGATGTTCTTTTTAACTCAGTCCTCCTTCAGTAAGCAATCAAATTATACTTGTAATAATAAATGAACAATTGCAGACCTTATTTATATTGCTTGTTAATTGCTTGTTTAATTGGAATGTTCACTAATTTGCAAAATGCAGTTTCTGACAATGGAATTCATAGTCATTAGTACAAATTGGTCATGTTTCCCTGTAATTTCTTTGAGTGGACTCTCATGATTTAACTAGGAACCACGTCAAAATTTTTTCCAATTAGCTGAAGTGTCTCAGCTCAGGAAGAAAAAACATGACCTGATTTTTTTGACCTCTCTGGAGTGTTTCAAAGTATGTTAGGTGTGGAGTGTAATCGCTCTGCAGTATGTGTGAATGAGTGCTTGTCTGAGCTGGGCTGTTGTTTTGTTTTGTTTCATTTCTTTCCCTACCATTAGTTTGTGCCTGCACCACATTAACCTTAATGCATGACAAATTCTATGAATGGTTCGTGCTGTAAAATTCCTGGCAAGCACCAAAGTGAACAAACTTAAAGGAATCATCTGTAATTCGTTGGATTTCATTCTGTATAGTATGAGGAGGTTTTAAATGCCACAAATATTAGTACTTTCTTTTATTAATAGTAAAGAAAATGTCATGGACTTAGCCAAGATAGGAATGACATAGCCAATGCTTTCCTGAGGCTCAAACACAGCACAGAACATATACTTGCATGGAAGTGTGGGTTTCCTTGAGAAAGTATCTTTGGAGATATTTGTATGTTGTGTAACACCAGCACTAAATGCACATCTGAGATTTGGAGCTCGACAGAAAGTGAGACTTTATGACCAGGAAATTCAAGGACTGTCCTTTCTTCTCTCTTTTTTTTTTTTTTTTCTTTCTTTCTTTCTTTCTCCTTTTCTCTTTTTCTTCTGAAGTAGAATGGAAAGCTAGAATAGTAATAATTGTCCTTGGATTCATAAATTTGAGCTTTATTGATCTTGAAATGTAAAAAAAGGTATTTCTTATATGGAACATTTTTGTCTTTTTTCTGTTGTCAAAATGATGGAGCTTTTTCCTAACAAATCATCTGTTAAGATAAAAATTCATTTTAGACAGCAAAAATATTTTATCCAAAAATGTTACCTTAAGTATGCAAGTATGGGGTTTTTTTAAAATACACTTTTTTTTTTATTTGTTGCACCTAGCTCACCATCAGCTATATTGAATCCCTGATGCCCACTAGTGAACGCCAAAAACACCTGATGCGCCAGTACTGCTTTCTATGTGACTGTCCTCTCTGCCAGAATCAAGACAAGGTAGGTTGAGTTCAGAAATTCCTTGCTAGCAAAATAGAATTTTCCAAGGCCTATTGGCAACTTTCTTTCCTGTAAGTAATAATTATCTTTTGCTACTAACTGAATGGCCAGAATACAGCAGCAAGTGACTTCTGCCCTCAGTGCTGTTTACGTTACTATGAAAGACAAGTGTAAAGCAAAGGAAAGCAGGAAATGTAGGCCACATAATAAGCAGATTTTCTTGCTAAAATGTGCATTGTTCTTAAAGCTAGGAACTCTTTTCTATCCCATGATGTGGTTCAGATCACTTTGAGACTAAGGGATATTAAAACATGAGAGTTAGCAAACCTTTAAATTGTAAGCAAACATCTTGGGTTTTTTTTTTTTTTTTTTTTTTTTTGGCTTTTTTTTTCATTCAAAAGAAAAACCTTGCAACTTTAATTGAAACAACTTGTCTAGCACCATAGGAAGGCTATATTTATCCTCACAGTAATGTTAAATTCATTCAAACACTTGCATCAATAAATTCTCAAGAATTACCCACCACATCCAGCATCTTTTAGTCTCCAGCCAGGGTGGTGAAACTCTTTGGATGACCGTTTGTAGCTTTTATACTCTCTTTTTCAAACTCATGGAGCAGTTGTAGTAGCTGTAGCTAAATTTGTAGCTAAATTTCCCAATAGATGAGAGAAGCTATAACAGAAACTAGTGAACATATGATTGCAAGGAGCATGGCATGGAGCATTATTACTTCATAAAGTAATTGCTCTACAGCAAAATAGAATAAAAAACTCAAGTTTAAACCGAGATAACTATGTTCTTGGGATAAGAAAGTTGTCTGAGTGTATAGTTGTGCTCAAGTCAGGGCACAGACATTAAATAAATAATGTATCCTTTGATATGTCAATAAGAGTTCAAAAAGGGACTTCAGAAAAGTTTCTGGCTTATGGCATAGTGCTAAATTACTTCCTCTCCATGTGTAGAAGTTGATGGCATTCTGTGCCTGATACAAAGGTACTGTTTTACTATTTGGAGCCAGTAAAGAATAGCAAAAGACCTCTGTTTTTATTTTAAGTATGTTCACTCAAGGGCCCTGAAATCTCAGATTAGAGAGTACACTCTGCTGTGAGAGTCAACATGCTGTGTCAACAAATATTCTAGTGGGGCTGTACATGCATGTATTTATGAGTACAGTAGTGTCATGAGTGGGTTAGAATTACTTATTTTTTCCTTTTCAAAGTTATTAACTGTACTTTGAGTTCATCTTCCAGACTTTTTTTTTTTTTTTTTTTTTTTTTGACAAAATTCCCGGTAGGAAAGACATTTCAAAGTGTTTTAAGAGCTCCTCCTGGTTGCCTTCTGCAATTCTCTCATGTTTCCTTACTGTTACTGTGTAAAGATGTCTGGAAGAGACAAAGAACATTGTGTCAGTGTTGTCTATTGATGCCTATGAAGACAAACCTTTCTCCTCAGCTCAGATCTAAGATGATTACATGTAATCTGCAGCACTCTTCATAGTAGTGTCCTTGTGGCAGATTTAATAATTATAACTGTGTACGTGCTTAACATGAAAACATAAATATTTTTACAGCATTTATTTCAGTAAACCAGGGTGGAAAGAAGGGAATATTTGAGAAATTTCTTTTTTTGTGTTTTTGTTGTTGTTGTTGTTGTTGTTTGTTTTTTGTTATTTTGACATTACAGAATGGCCAGATTTAGATATTTAGAAGTTATCAATTGGTATTTTTTTTCAATAAGATCACTTCTTAAATACTCCTGTTATCAAGAAAAGTTTTCAAGACATCTTGAAAATTACTGAAAAGCAAAGTCTTTGTCAAAATAAGAGGTAACTGCTGCCAGGTCTATTCCCATGTAACAATGTCATTTTGTAAATATGATAGCCTAGACAACAACAATCTACTTCTTAAATATTTCTTATAGCTAAAAATACAAATTCCAATTTGGTTAAGGAATGATTTATGTTTTCAAGTCTTGCATGTCTTTTGTCTCTTGTAGTTGTCTCCCGCTAATAGCAAGACTGTTTCAGCAARCAGTTATGGCAATTGTAGCTGCTTGTTATTCCCAAGCGCCAGTCCTGCTGAGCATGGAGGCTGGTTATGGAGCAGCTTTYAGGAACCAGTGAAAACAGAGGAATCATTCCTGAGAGGCACAAACAACTTGCATCAAAACCTGCATGTCAAATCATTCTCATTGCCACACTCTAGTGCTGGCCAGTAACTTTCTGCAATGGGTCTAGCAGCTGTAGGTTGCTGGTTTGTCAAGGGAAAAGCAGCATGTGCTGACATACCAGTGTAAAGTGAATAAGGTAAAATTAAGGTGATCCTTATGGCAGTACAGTTACTGCCAAAATAGCTGGCACTGACTGTCTAACCAATATTTTAATTGATTTTGGCCCAAGATGAAAAACAATTCAGTAACTAACTGAAAGAGATAAAAAAAGACTCTCTGTAAAACTCACTTGAAGAATGTTTGCTGACTGTTAGTTATCGCTACTGTAATGCCTTCAGTTCATTGTATCTATGACAGCTTTATACGTTATTTCTTCCAGACACTTTAAGATCAATCTCCCCTRTAATTCGGAAACATGTTCCCTCCTAAAAGCTGAACTCTTGGCACTGAATTACCATTCCAGCACATAAAAGCTCCTTACATTAATTATAATTAAAGATGGGATTACACTGATGACAAACATTTTAAATGGAGAACAGTTTTTCCACTGTCAAGAGCCAAAGTATTGTTCATGTTCCACATTTTCAGCCAAGAATTTCAGGGAGATTTGTGCTTATAGAATCAATTTGCTATGAGTCGTCTTTCTCATTTGGAGCCAAGAATTAATATTTTAGTCTAGCTTGGTTTTTGGAAAGCTTTCATTTAACACAAGGTCAGAAGCAATGGATTTGAACCCCAATCATTCTTATATTTGGCCAGTGTTTGATAGTGGCCAAAGCTAATAATAACATAATGCCAATAAGTAATTTATTCTTTTAATCAGTTTATTGCTTTGCTTAGAACTGACTTATATAGCGTTTTAGTAGGGAACATCACAAGTCCAGTTTCTAACTCAAGGACTCTCAGAACTAGGTCATCTAAAACAGCAACCAAGCCATCTACATGAAAATAGCACCTGCAGTCCTTCAGGTGATACTGAATTTCTGTATATTCATTAACACTTTTATATAAAACCACCGAATATGATCCTGAATCTACCAGAAGTTTTGGCATTGTTTTTTCAACCGTAGGGAACAGCACTACCAGATTTGTCATTCAAATGTAAACAATCTATTTGATCAAGTTTATTGCTAGAAAATAATTCCCTGTGTATGTCTGTAGCTGATTTGCCTCCCTGAGGTTTCTGATGTCAGCAGATGCCCTTGAAGTTGTCCAAGAATAAAATTTATACAATGTCTGCATCTTTGATCTCTATGTTTGATGTCAACAATTCCATTGAAGAACATGTGCTTAAATGACAGAGGCCATGTTACATGGAGAGTATTATTAATGATTGCTCTTGTGGATTAGTATGCAAGGCTTTATGTAAAATCACTACTGTTCCTACAGAAATATCATCTCTCCCTCAGGGAGCCTATATTTAGGACACACAAGAAATATAAAATGCTGTGGTTAAAAAGTGCCTTTTTAAATTGCTAAGTTGTAATGTTCCATAAGATACCCACCAGCACTCCAGCATGAGATGGAACATGCAAAGATCTAGCTCAGTCATATTTAATCCACGCACCCTTTCAACCCGACGCCAGTGTCATAAAGGCCAATAGCAGTAATGAGGAGCCCGTAGGGACACAGTGTTTATCCTTTGCATGGATGATTGGCTGATTAGCAGTTCCTTCTTTCTGGCAAGACATTTACTAATGAAATAAACCCTGGATCTGTTCCTGAAATCCAGCAATCAATCTAACAGTCCTGTGTTCCCTTTCAGACACATAGCCAAGTAGCCATATCTCCACATAGCCAAGTAGCCAAGGATTGTTTCCACATAACACATAGCCAAGGACAGAGGTTTTGTTTGTTTGTTTGTTTGTTTGTTTGTTTTTTTATTGCCAGAACATCAGAACATGATGCTGAAAATCAAGTAACCATTTCTAGTTTCTGGGCGCTGTTGTTCATTCCACAAAGGCATCCACTCTTCCACCTCTTAGAGGTCTCACATGACTTCTGAGGCTTCTTCTATCTTTCGGCTTTATATATTTATATATATTCCCATCGAAAGACAGTCCCACAGACAGTATCAGACTGTAACAAATGGACTGTGATCATTTTACCATAACAATTTACCTTTCCTAGTTGGGTCAAAACTTCCTCAGGATGCTCTRGTCACAACTCAGTGGCTGGAGATCACTTGAGTTGTCAAAAGTTGAAAAAAAGATGCTGCTGCTCATATCAACGGACTAGAGTCCAGAGCTACATGCAGATTCTCTTCCTCCTCAGGGGATCCTTAATAGGGAAACCGGTATTAATTTGGGCTAGGGAAACAAGTATTAATCTGGGCCAGCAGTTTTGTGTTTTCTGAGTTGAAGTAGGAGTTGAAATATGATGCTTTCCTGKAAGTCCGACATTCCATTCATTCAAGTGTAGTGAATCTCAGACCTTTCAGATCCAGCCTTCTGAGAGGAAATGTAAATCTTCTATTAATCAGAAGCATTTTTTTACAAAAGGAGAGGAGCCTGCTTCCATCACTGTTTCAGGCTGCTGTCGATACATTTTAGCTCCCTGCCAGCAATATTTCTTATTTCCAAAGGTCCAGCTTCCTTGGAATTCTTGTTAGAATTAATTACATTTGTTATGATTTTTTTTTTTTTTAATGGTATTTGTTCTATGCTGAATTTCTTCTGTCCAGTATTTGTTCTTTGCTGAGTGATACACAAAAATAAGGAATCCCTYTATGGATTAGCACGCCATCATAAACATAATGGAAGATAGACTGTGCTGTGAGAAACAGAAGTAATCTAAAACACAGATCTAGATCTGACAAAATCTTTTCCCAC